ACCATGAAGGCTTATGTGTGAAAAACCCGCTATGAGGATTTTCCCAAGGTTCACGTTATAAAAAAGGCTCCAAGACTTAGTATAGAAATAACATTGTCATATGCCGAATTGGAGGGATTCTAGCTCCCCCATAATAACCCTCTGTTTATAAAAGTCATCATTGCCAATAAAAATATCTAGCAAGTTCTTGTTGACAATGACAGTTTAGCCGATTAGCTCGACATTAGTAGAGAACAAATTCAGCCCGTCAAATCACACCTGGTGGGATTTTCTATTGAAAAGGTATACCCACTTGGTTCTATCTAGCTTGTTTTGACTCTTGGAGAACCCCCTACCAAGCCACAACCATTATGAAATTTCTTCTTGTTGAGGCTTCCTCTATTTTCAACATGATAATGGGAAGAATTTCTTTGAATGTTCTCTGCTATCCCCTCTACCTATCACCTAATGATGAAGTTCCCCACTGAAATGGGATTGGTGTGGTTAAAAGAGACCAAAAGATGGCCAGAGAGTGCTATATGACCTCTATGAAGCAAAATGAGGTAGATTATGTTCAAAGGGATGATCTCGATATGAGAGACGAGGTGAATACAAGGCCTACACATTCAGAAGAGCTGGAGCCAGTCCAAGTGGATGATGAACTTGGACATGTGGTCTTCGTTAGCTCCTAACTGGTGGCCAAGATCAAGGATAAGCTCATTACGTTCTTAAGACACAACTCATATGTTTTCCTTAGAAGCAAAAATATATACAAGAAATAGACCCTAAAGTGATTGTTCATAAATTAAGTGTTGACCCCAATTGCTGACCTATCAAGCAAAATAGAAGAAATTTTTCCATGAAAGATAATAGGCGATCAACGAAGAGGTGACTAATCTACTCAAGGCCAAAGCAGTTCGGGAAGTGGATTATCTGAGTTGGTTGGCAAATGTGGTACTGGTCAAGACGTCCAATGAAAAGAGCCACCTCTGCATTGACTTCACTAATCTAAATTGAGTCTATCCAAAAGATAGCTTCCCTCTTCCATGAATAAATGTCATTGTTGACGCCACCTCTAGTCACGAACTCCTAAACTTCATGACTATCTTTTTAGGCTAAAATCAGATCATGATGGCTAAGAGAAGACCTCTTTCATAACCGAATAGGGTACCTTTTGTTTTTAGGTCATGCCTTTCAATTTGAAGAATGTGGGGGCCACCTATCAAAGATTAGTCAACAAGATATTTGTAACCCATATCGTCACCACAATGGATATTTATATTGATGACATGTTTTTGAAGTTACTCACGGTCGAGCTTCATATTTAGCACCTTAAGGAGTCTTTTCAAATCCTTAGAAAGTATGGAATGAAGCTGAACCCCACCAAATGTGACTTTGGGGTATCAGTAGGGAACTTTCTTGGTTTCTTTATGAATCAAAAGGAATCGAGGTTAATCTCAGGGAGATTAAAGCCTTCCTCGAGATGAAGTCATTTACAACATTAAAGAAGTCCAACGGCTCACTGGAAGAATAGTTGCCTTGAAAAGGTTTGTCTAGCTTTCCAATGGAATGACCAATGTGAGGAGGCTTTCCAATCTTTGAAAACCTATCTAAACACACCACCCATCCTAGTTAGCTCAAAGATAGGAAAGGTTTTAACCTTGTACCTATCTGTGTTTGAGTTCTTAATTAGTGTTTCTCTGGTCAGAGAGAAGGAGAAAGTTCAGAGACCAGTTTATTTTTGCAACAAGGCCTTGAGAGGATCAGAGGAGAGATACTAAAAAATGGAGAAATTGGACTTAGCTCTTGTGATAGCAACTAGAATGCTCAGTCCTTATTTTCAAGCTCATACGATCAAAGTACCTCAATCAGATTTTTTGTGGAACGTATCGAGAGTAATGAAATATCGAATCTGCTTATTAGTCTTATGGTATATCTCAATATCGAGGATGATACCAAAGATCTATATTTGTTTATAAACTCTCCTAGAAATGGGTAATACCCAGAGTAGCTATTTTTGATACTATGCAATTTGTGCAACTTGACTAGCCAATGAAGTAGGTTCTCCATAAACCTAAATATTCAGGTCGGTTGGTTAAGTGGCCAATTGAGTTTGGAGAATTTGACATCAAGTTCAAGCCAAGAACTACAATTAAGGACCTAGTCCTAGTCGACTTTCTTGTTGAAAAACCTCGCTTCCCTAAGTAGGCCACAACTCAATGCAAAGAAAGGTTCATACCAGACATCCTAGTCTGGGAATTGCATGTGGATGGAGCATCTAATGCAAAAAAGATTAGAGTTAGGCTCATCCTAACCTCACCAGAGCGAATCAACATTGAGTATGCCATGAGATTTAACTTCAAAACCTCCAACAACGAAATAAAATATGAAGCATTAATTGCCGGGCTTAGGTTGGCTCATTCTATGGAAGCTTAACAATTGCTGATCCATAGCAATTACCAGTTGGTGGTGAGGCAGGTCGGGTATGAGTACAACGCAAAGGAAGAAAGAATGAGAGCTTATCTAAAAGTTGTCAATGATTTGTTGGAAGTTTCTTCATGTAGAAATCATGTAGGTATGAAGAATGGAGAATGCCAGAGCAGATTCATTGGCTAGACTGGCAACAGCTACACATGGAAATCTCAATAGAACAGTTCCAATGGAGTACTTGATAGAGCCAAGTATCACCCAAAGCTCATAAAATGAAGAGGCCATGCATGCAACAGAAGCCACGAGCTGGATGGACCCCAGCTTCAGTTATCTCTGGGGGGAACACTTCTCGAGATCCAAAAAAGACACCTAAATTGAGAAATAGGACATCTCATTTCCTCATTAAACAAGGCAAGCTCTATAATAGGGGATATTTTCGGCCCTTTCTAAGGTGCATAACCTCAGAAAAGTCTGACTACATGTTTAGAGAGATGACAAAGGAATCTATGGAAATAAAATCGGGGAAGAACTTTGGCATACAAGGTTCTAAGGCATGTTTACTTTTAGCCTACTGTGATGTATGACTCAACTAACCTAGACAGAAAGTGTAAGATATATCAGATGTCCACACGAACCACTTACCCTAGTAACAAGCCCATGGTCTTTCCAACAAGGGGGATAGATATTGTGGGACCTTTTTTCCTTGGGAGTAGGACAATGCAAATATGAAGTTGTGGTTGTGAACTACTTCACAAAATGTTCAAAAGTAGAGCCATTGACAACCATCACTGAGCAAAAGATGAAAAAATTTGTGCGAAAGTCTATCATATGCCGCTTTGGGATTCTAGGAGCCATAGTGATAGCTAATGGAAAATAATTTGACAACAATGATTTCAAAATTTTATGCGCCGAGCTAGAAATTAAAAACTACTTCTCTTCACTTGCTCATCCCCAATCTAATGGACAAGCTGAGGTGACCATATGAACAGTTGTTAATGCATTAAAGAGACGACTAGAAGCATTGAAGCATCAGTGGGTAGAAAATCTCCATAATATGTTATGGGCTTATAGAACAACAACTCGAATTGTCACCAACAAAACACTTTTCAATTTAGCCTTTGGAACTGAAACAGTTGCACCGGTTGAGATCAAACTCCCATCTCCAAGAATAGATCCATTCAACCCTGAACTAAATGACAGATCCCTCTTAGTTAACTTAAACCTTATCAATAAAAAGAGGAACAAAGTTTTACAAAGGATCTTGGCCTATCAACAATGAACAGTTTGGTACTATAATCAAGGGGTGAAGAATAGAAGCTTCAAGGTGGGGACCCAGTTCTAAAGAAGTTGTTGCTGGTAAGAAAATATCCATGGGAAGGTTGAGCCCAACTGGGAAAGTGCCTAAGTGATAAAGATGATAATCAGGCCTGAGAATTATGAGCTACAAATCTAAGAAGGACATATTTTGGCACATTCTTGGAACACTGTGCATCTAAAAAAGTTCTATCAATAGCGAAACCAAGTGGGCCCCTAGTTTTCCTTTCTTAAATTGTCAAAAAAACCAATCTCTCTAAACAAGTCTTAGCAATAATACTCCTTGTTCAAGGAAATTTTTCTATTCATTCAGTTGCATTAAAACGCCAAAGAATTTACTGAAAGGGAGATAGACTTTTCATCCTAAAAGAGCTCTTCAGCTCTTCCTTTAGAGATAGGCTTCTTAGCCTAGAGAGCTCTTTAGTTCTTCCATTTAAAGTAGGCTTTTTAGCTCTACCAATTAAAATAGGGTCTTCAACCTAGAGAGTTTTTCAGCTCTTTCAATTAAAAATAGGCTCTTCGACTCTTCCATGTAAGAAAGGCTTTTAAGCTTAAGAGAGCCTTTCAACTCCTCCCTTGAGGCATTACAACCTAAAGAGCTATCCAACTCTTCCATTTAAGATAGACTTTCCATCCTAAAAGAGATTTTTAGCTATTCTATCGAAAATAGGTTCTTCAGCCAAGAAAGCTATTCAGCTTCTCACAACTTCTAACTCTTCAAGCTCCTCAACTTCACTAAAAGCTTTAGGCTACTCAATCTAGAGGGCCACCTAAAATAAATAATGAGCAACCAAAAACCAAAGAAGAGCTTATCTAACTTGACTCAACTGAGACAAAGCCGTTGAAAATGCATCAAGTACAGGCTTATTAGCCTCCACAAAACAAGTATAAACTTGTCAGTAATAAGCTCAAGAGTCCAGCTTAAATCTCCAACCAGATTACAATTCCAGCCTATATACAAGCCTTGGTGAAATTAGTTGAAAAATTTGAAAGGAGACAATTTGTCAACCCAAATTCTCACCTCTATAAGGGTGAACCTTTCTAGAAGTGAAAGGGCATGAGGACAAGGGGCCCAAGGTTAAGGTATAGGCATGGGAATCTAGTCAAGCGACAATTATCAGGCGAAGAAAAAATGCAAATTCCAAGACACAAGATTCCAAGCAAAGAAATTCAAAATTCATTCCAAATAAAGGAGGTTCAAACATTAAAAAGCTTGTACAATGGACAATAAAGACAATTACAAGAACATATCAGGCAACCTTCTCAGATGACTTAGCCTATGCTTCAAATAGCTGGACATCCCCGTCCTCTGTTTGTTCTGACACCTCGAAGGGTTGGTCAACACTCTTCTCTTTCACGAGTTCCTTTGCCACCAAACCCTCAGCAATAACAACCATCGTAGAGTCATTCTTCTTCCAATTACTTTCCTCTTCTTTGTCTGAAGGCTTTTCAAAAGAATCGAGGTCCAGGGTAGGGTAGCTTTTCTTTGAGTAATTTTTTTTGGCTTGAGTCTTAAAGGCAAGGTACCCATCCAAGTAACTCTCTCTGATTTCCTCACCATACTAAGAGGATTTCTTGAATTTCTCGATAGCTTGATCAACACTTACACGAAGCTGAGAAGATAAGCGCATTTCATGTTTGTTTCGTCAAGTTGGTATTTGAGAAGAATTGCCTCCCCTACAGCCTTAGCCCATTTTTCCTCGGCCTCTTCAATAGCTCACAAGGCAACAACCAGTTCAAACTTGAATTCTTCAAGTTGGTCCTTCAAAGTTAGTTTAGAGGCTTAGACAATGTTCAATTGCAGAGAGAGTTTCTTCACATTCTCGTTTGCTGACCTCGCCTCAGCAACCATATTATCCCTTTGTTCCTGAAGAACAAAGAGAGTCATGACTAGGGAGCTCAAATATTTAACAACCTAAAAGAAAATGAACCAAAACTATAGCAGTCAGACAATGATTTGATAGGAAAGTGACACAGAAGGAAGAAAAGAAATGGTTACCTCAGCAAGCCCATGAGACTCATTTTATCGTTTCCCTAACTCTACCTTGGGAAGCCTCATTTAGGTCAGTTTGAGGGAGAACCGAGTAGAGGCAACAAGTAGCCAAGTCAAGATTACACAATAACGAATCATCAGCTAGCTGACCAGATGAAGCCTCTCACTTTAGCCGAGGTGGGGCCCTTCGGAGTCTCCTCGAAAGGAACCTCAGGGATATTGTAATTCCCTGACCAAGTTGGTTAGAGAGGGATCTTCAGATTTCTGATGAATAAGGGCCTTCTCATTCTCAGGTAGGTCAGCTTCCGTTGCATTTAGCTCATTCTTCTTAAATTTCTTTAGCCCTTTCCTCAGGCTACAATTTTTGAGAAGGTTGTTTAGATTCACTTTCTTTCTCAGCCTCTATTCGAGACTCCTTAAGTTTCATCAATGTGTCTTTCCTGTAAGACATCTCTTCAAAATCTGCATGGTGAAACATAGATTAGAAAACAAAATAATAACAATAAAAAAGAGGGGAAGAAGAACAAAGAATACACTTACCAAAGGTGACGAGCTTAGTTTCGAGTGGGGGACAAATTCCCTACTTAGCTAGGTTCTCTTAAGTGACCAGCTCAGACAATACTCTATGACCTAATTTCTTGGCCTTAAGGATGTTTTCCTTCTCAAATTTTAACAAATCAAGAATACAGTCTGCAAAAAATGGCAACAAACATAACAAAGAGTCGACATGGCAAACACATCAGCGAGAGCTAACTAGCAATAACTTACTGATGTTGGTAGGGAGAGCTCATTCTTTTGGGGACCTGAAACACTTAGTCATTATAGCCATCAAACTCCCATCTCGATCTAGACACGAAGAAGAACTTACCTTTCCATTTCTTATGAGAGGAGGGGGGATCCACAACCAACAGTGGACTGTTAACCCTTTTAGTAAAATAGAAGAAATCTTGGGTAGGAGTGGGTTCCAACTGAAAGAGCTTAATGACTTTACTATGGAAGGTTCAGACTTAATCCCACTCTACCTAAAGTGTATGACTAGGCCGACTAATAGGCCCCATCGATTAGGAGAAAGCTGGGCAGGGGACAAATTGAAGTTATAGAGCATATACCTAATGTAATCCTTTAGAGGAAACCTAATGTCGAAGGCAACTTCAAAGAAACACATCTTATTAGGGAAGGAATCTACACATTGCTCGTCTCTAGTTGGATCATGCACCTTTATGCCCTTAAGGAAAACCATATTTTTCCTTTATTGATCTAGCGTAGGACTCTGTATCACAACTAGGCAGGTCGACTGAGCAACAGGTCAGGTCATCTACATCACGGGGCCTTTTTCCCCTCTTTCGAGGAGAACCTACAACTTCAGGCCTGTTATCTATATAATTGAGGGGTTGGTTTGACATTTGAGGGGAAGGCTTCTATGATCACTACTCTAGAATCCATATCTGGTGGAGGTATGTCCTTTACAAGGCCAGAACCATTCCCAAATAGGAAAGCCATTGAAGAAGATGACCCTGAAGACGACAAAACGATTACCCTAGACATTGGGGCAAAACAATTCAATCTAATTTACAAATTTGGAAGACTAGAGAAACAATCTCTAATTACCCTAGGATTAAGACTCAAATCACGGAGAAAACACATCCTCTCAGTAGTTGACTGATTGACAAAAAAAGGAAGAGACCCTAGGGAACTATTCAGCTGTCTGAAATAACAAACCCTAAGGAGGTAAAAATGGAGGCTCACTAACCACCACCAAGGGTTGAAGGAATCTAGGGTGGAAGGGAAAGAAAAACGTACCTAAGGGGGCGAGTCGATTGAATGACTGTGAGATCAAAGAGACGAATGTCAGAGAAGGAACGACAAAAAGAGACCGATGAGCACACTGAACCTTCGTGTTAGGAAATTTTCAAGAAATTCCCAAACCCGTGAGAAACAAAAAATGGAGAAAAACGCACGTCAAAGAAAAATAATCACACGCACAATATAGTATTTACGTGGTTCGATAATTTGTCAACGTCCACGGAGCTACAAGAATTTCACAATTGAGAATAAAGAATATAGAGGGAGGCCGTACAGTATCAATCAACCCTAATCACAAAAAATAACAGTTTTTATATGTCCTGTCTGTGCATTGAGCTACAAAACAAGCGCAAAAATTTTTTTTCGTCGCAAACCGTAGAACTGATAGACTAAGTCTCAGAAAATATTTCATTAAAAACCACACAATATTATTTCGAGTTAGGTTATCATTCAGATCAATACAAAAACTAGGCTACACAAACAAGCTCAACATTTCACACCTTCATGCTTTCTTGAAGGAATGAGAAAGAGGTACCATCAGGAGCCAAAAATCCTCAATTTAAATGAAGACATTTGACGGTTACAACCCATAATGATGATTTAATTAATGCCCCATGTATGTGGGATATGTGGAAAACACCGATTGGGACATCCCAAAAATTGAGGCGTTGAGGAAGCAAACCGGTAGCACCCCTTACTATTACAATGAGTAATAATATGTATTCTAAATTTGTAACCCAAATTTGCATCCCAAATCAAGGAGGACTATTAGATTAATGAGTCTCATTTAAAAAAGTTGATGAGACCCACTGATTCAATAGTCTTTCTTGATTTGGGATACAAATTTATGTCACAAATTTAAGATACATAGCACTACTCTTATTACAATATGACAAAGACTCAAAAGCATGGCAAACACTTCAGGGGCACCTCGTCCCAACTAGGGGCCAGGTCAGACTAGCTCTAGCTTGGGCCTGAGGGGCCATTGATATACCAGATGTAATAGACAGCCCAACCCAAACAAGGTTGAACATGTCTAACCAATTTGGGACAAGTGTCCAAGGACAATCCCAGCTCAGCAATCAGGATAGGAGTTTCAACCCAGTAAACAAAAAGCCTGTTAAATATGTTTGGCAGCCCAACGATCTTCAAGGACAAAGATCCCAAAAACATTTTAACTAACTTGAGAGACCACTTAATCATGACAATGAAGACTACAATACTCTAGTTTATAAATAGACAAACTATTGCTTCGTCCTGATAGATGAGAAATTGTATCCACAAAGTAATTTAATTTTCTTCTTCCCCAAATAATATAAAACTAGAGAGGCGACAAACTCTATTAGAGTGGATTAACTTAACTCTTCAGCTCGGGGATGTAGCTCAAACGGTAGATAACAAAAAAAAACTCTTCAGCTTGATGAATAAACTATTTCCATTGCTAAAAGCAGCTTCAAATTGACAGACATTAGGGGAAAGCATTTCCCAATCTCAAAATAATAGTAAATCAAATAGTGGGCCCCTGTTTTAGTTATTCCTATAGAAGAAACAATACGTGTTACACCAAACAAAATGACACGTGAGAATTAAATCCCTCTTCTTCATTGCTTGATCATCCATTTGATACGTGAGAATTTCTTATATCTTGGAGGCATCAGCTGTAACTCGGCTCAAGGCAATGGCCGTTTTGGAGCCTGACGCCCGCCCCAAATGCTTGCAGATGAACTCCCCAGCCAACAAGAGTTTGCTCAGGTCAACATTGGTTTTCACACCGAGACCATTAAGCATGTATACGACATCTTCAGTGGCAACATTTCCTGAAGCTCCCTTAGCATATGGGCACCCTCCAAGACCCGCAATGGAGGAATCCAATGTGCTAATACCCATCTGCTCGGAAAAAAAAGTAGTAGTAAAATCAAAGAGAGTTTCAGATGATTATGTAATACTACATCTATATGCAGGGACAATACTTCATCATGATGAACATGCATTGTCCTTCTAAAAATGTAAAAAGAAAGAAAAACAAAATCCATGCTTTGAAGGCATGAAAATAATGCCCCAAGACTGAAGCCGAGCAATTCACTGTTTATCTATTACTATTGCAATCAGAGATTGAAGCATGCCATCTTGCTGTCAATTACAACTAATTCAAACCATATCACTAAATTAAAGGGTTGGCAAGCTAAACAGAGAGTGATAACATGCTGTGATGGGCAATCAAGTAAGATGGATTTCAGAGGAACCATTGTCCAAGTTCAAACTCATCCAATGCTGATCAACAACTTGGTGAATGAAGCCAAGTGTGTGATACATGCAAGCCCTTAACAAGTATTTAACAATAAAGAAATGCAACTTTGGCATGAACAAGATTTAGGTTGTGCTTGATGGGTGTATTTCAGAGAAAAGGTAGCTCACTTGGAGGGATACTAAAATATTTGGAAGAGCCTGCCCATAAGTGTCATGGAAGTGGATGGCAAGTTTCTCAACTGGAACAACGGCCATTACAGCTTCAAGCATAGGAAGGACCGTGCCTGACAAGAAATGGAAAGAAGTTCAAGGAAACAAAGTAGGGAACGAATTTACACAGTAGTAAGGGACTACACAAAAAATTATCAATGATCAATAACCCTCCAAAATCCAAATTTTTGTTCTGTAGGTAGCTCACTTTCTGATAGCACATCAAATTTTTATATGCACAAGTACTCAAAGAAACGTGAAAAAACAGCATATTTGTTGCAGGTAATAAAAGTTGGAAGAGAACTAAAGAAGGCAATAGCATCCAAAAACTAGGAGATGAAACTTGTATTGGCAAAAGACAAGTTTTACTTTGATTAAAACAGAAAATTAAATGTAGAAACATAAATTGATATCATGTATGATAAATGGCTGGAGTAGCACTGGCCATATTAGTGCTTAATAACCACATAGAATGGGTCATGTGTAAATCAGTTTACCATATGGGCCCTTATTTGAAAGCACAAGAAGAATTAGACATATGGAAGGTTTAAAAGATATACATGAGCATTTAACTGTAACACCAAAAAAATTGACAGTATTAAGTAAAAATACATGGCAAGTTCAGAAGGAAAGAAGGCAAGGAATACGAAGTTTACTAAAATTGATGTAAAAAGTGGAGACTTGAGTTTGAATTTGGTTAATGCATCAAACTCTAATAACCCGGACGTGTTTTGAAGAGGTGGACAAAAGAAAGATGAAAGGTTTGAAATGAGACCTCATTTCAAGACTTAAAAATATGGAATTCGTATAAGCCCTCGACACTGAGGCCCATAAAAGTTAGAAAAACCTTTAGTAATACAAAATGGAAAATAGAATAGAGAAAAAATAAAGAAAACGACTATGGCCATGGTCATAGCTGTTTGCGATGCAAAACTAAAAGAAATAAAATGTGGTTAAAGAAAACAAACTCGATCATTCTTGCAGCTATGTCTATGAACCAAGGACATATTTAGAGTTGCAATAATAAAAAGGATGTACGTGCAAATTCAGACAAGTTATCAAACAAAAGAGTTGGACAAAATAGAAAGTAACTTTGCCTTTGGCCTCCTATATAAATCATGAAGACACATTCTCAATTGACAATTAAGGAAAATATTAGAAAAGCATGAAAAAGACAACCATCTGCTTTCAAAGTAGAGGACAAGTCAATAAATATATGCGCATGGCGCATATGTGTGATAAAGCTTCTTTTTTTTTTTATAGGAATATGTTTGACAAAGCTTCAACAATATAGTAAGAGAGTATCTGAAAGATATGACTTAATTCCTTATCAAATAGAAGCAGATCAAGGGTGGGATGTTGAGAAAGAACATTGCTCAATAACAGTGGGGTTAACGAAATAGAAGGACATTTTTGAACTGCTGAATGAAGCATATCCTGTTTAGGTAATGAGTTGATCCCAAACAAGCTGATAGAATTGGAAATAAATGCATTATGAAGAGCCACTAATAACAAACTAAAAAATAATTGGCAGAAGGTCAATAGTTCATCTAGAGCCATGAGGACCAATGACGAGAGCCAAATTACAATAGTACTCGAAATGCTGTTAAGGTATGGAAATGCCAAAAAGGCCATGGAATTAGGATTTGGGAAAAAAAACTGCGATGCCAGCTACCAGATCAAAAAAAAGAATCCATATCAACAAATGAAAAAATGATTTTCTAGAAAAGATAAATTTGGTAGTTAGCAAAAATAGTGTAGTAGTTACATGTAGGCCACATTGGAGAATGTAATCAGAGGAAACCAATGGTTTCCAGTAAATAATTCAAAAACATGGGGAACTAAAAAAATGGGGAGAGAAGGCTTCCCAAGTCTTCTCCTTCTAATTTCAATTGCTGTAATACATATAAAGACAAATAAATGAAAACAGGAATTATAGATGAAGCTGTCAGAATTGCAGGATACCTATGGTAAATTGAGGCAGAGGACAACTTACAAAGGAAATTCTACAACCACCTCAGGCACCTATAGAGATGTTTTTTTTTTTTTTTGAGGGGTGAGGGGTGTTGGATGACATGGGTAGTTCAAAGAACAGATGGCCAACATGGAATACCTGGGTGAGCCTTGAATGGTAATCCAGAAATATAGTAATTACAACTTGTTATGTAAGCCAAAAAAAAATTATGTAGCTGAATTCAAAACGCCTGAGGTGATTTAGAACAATACCTGGTGTACCGACCCCTATGGTATCACCAAGAGAGATTTCAAAGCAACCCATATCATAGAGTTCTTTTGCCACATATGCGACTTGTGAAGGAGGAATCGCCCCTTCAACTGGGCACCCAACTACGCAAGATACATACCTGTTGAATTCAAAGTATCCATCTCAGTATCAGCTGGAGGTAATAAAACAGGAAGATTCTCAAATGGATGACAGCAAAAGAAATGAAGTTTTGCTTTCTTCAAATTTGAAGATCAAACACAGAAAGAAAATATTAACCTTATTCAGCAAGTAAATTTGGAATCCAGAATTTTGGTTTTCACTCAAGAAATCAATAAAAAAAAAGTCCAAAATACTAGCTTTCTGAATTATCATGTTCGTACTAATGCACAAATAGCACTGCCCCTACAAAATATAGACATCTATTGCCCAACTACTGAATGTGTGAAAGAACCAGCTAGTCCAAGACAAGTGAACAGGTAAGGACCATGCACAGAAGATACAAAAAGGATTAAACTTGGACAAGTCGTCAATTGTTAATCAAAAGAAATTTTTATTTAAAAGCGAGACAAAATAATTGTTCGTTTAAACATTAAAACAAGAAGCAATATTCTAGATATTGCCTGATAAGTTGCATCACTGGCTTCACACCTACTACAAACCAATATTAGACAGATTAATCATCAATGCCATATTGGCCCCCATGATAAGTATGACCTGTTACACTAGTTTAATGACCACTAGAGCCCACTATAGTACATGACATTGACAGGCCTATGAAAACACTTGGTCAGCTCCGGCGTTTCATACTCCCATTTGTTTTCCCACTCCAACTTGAAAATTAATTCTAGCTTTATATGCTTTCAGATGTCAATACAGTGGAGATAACCCAAGTCCAATCTCGGATTATACTTATGGTTTCTCTATTTTGATCGTAACCATAGATTTTTGAAACAGGGAGATCAATAGCAGATTTTATTTCTTAAACATTATCAAAAATCTATCATATATTTTTGTGTTCGTTGAATCTTCAAAAACATTTAACCTCACATAAAGCAAATTGGCACTAAAAAATGTATAGGCACATATCTTTTCAACTATTGCCGCGAATGAAGTAGACCACAAGAAACCAATGCATTTAAAAAGGACCTAATAGGAAGCTAAGGGGATCCTACATTTCTCACTTGGTAATTTCTAAAAAAACAGAATATGCTAGACAAGAATGACCAGCAATAGGTGCTGCACTTATACTTCAGAGCTGTCATAGACACTGTTTTCTGAGACTAGATACTGAATAAAGGGGGTCAGAATCTCTGACCCACTAGACTAAGACATGTGGCAGGATCACGTGCTTCAATGATTGATTGGTTCGGTTATGACCGAGAAGTAGAAGAAGGGCTCAGTATAGCATGAGGTGCTCGGTCAGAGCATTCCCAAGCAAAAGAGTGCTTACAAAGCAAAGCTTGGCAAGGTATGCCTAAGAAAGAGATCTTGTGAAGACTAGAGCTTCTGAGCTTGGTTAAAAGAGGACGCTATCTTGTGGGGATTAGGCCTTATTTGAACGAAAGATAGTTAGGCTATCCTTAGAAACCCCGAGTTGGGAACTGAGTAAACCAATTGCTAGGCCATCCCAAGAACTTAGAGGTGGTGAAAACTGAATAGGAAGTTGCCTAAGTTATAGGTGAACATTATAAATATGACCTAAATAAAAGATGGCCAGAAAGGAGATCTGAAGAGGCACCAATGCAGAGGATTAGGCTAAAAAATAGGTGTGTCACCTTGTTCAGCCAATAGTGAAACCCTAGAAGATGGTACAAACCACTAGTAATATCGGGTAAAGCTTAAATCTAAGGCAAAGATCAAAATTTTATTTCGGTGTATTGTATCCGTCATCTAGGAAACGTAACGTTTCAACGTGTTTTAGAAATATTTTGACCCTTTTTCGAAAAAAGAAAGAAAAAAAATAAAAAAATTAAGAATTATTTTTATAGAATATTGGTCGAAATATACCAAAGTATCTTAAAATACCTTAAAACATTCCACAACAATTGTGCCAATGCATTGAAACATTACAAAATACTTAATACATTATAAAACACTTTGAAGTATTAGAATTTTGATTCCATCACAAATTCATTTTGGTCTCTTTGAAAATGGAAACATTTTGGTCTCTTTGAAAATGGAAACATTTCGGACGTTTTGAAACAAAATTTTGATCCTTGGTCTAAGGTATGCGTTCTATTCCACACAAATTTGTTTACTTGAACCTTCACTGACTTAAGCATTAGAGTGCCTTCGATTGGTCAATCCCTAGTCTCTGGTAGGTTGTTCATTTTGCTGGAGGAGGGTCTCTTGGTTTGCTTTCTGAGGGTTATCCAGAGTTCATAACTATCAATTCGGGGTACAAATATTTCCCCCCGTACACTGAACATACATTATTATCACACTAGACCCACAAAATACAAAACTGCATATCCACTAAGTTGTAGAAGTTTTATGTGCTGCTATATGGACAAAATAAACAAGACAACTATTAAGCGAACTTATATCCCAAATTGAACAATTAGGACTACAAAGGTTGGTTCATATACTTGAGAGGGACTCCACCTATTGCCAATTAGTTTTGGGTTAGATGCTCTAACATGGTACCAAAGTTAGGCCTTGGGTGGTCTGTGGGCAGGCCAAGTCCCTTACAATTTGAATTCTCCAATATGCATAATTGCTTGTTTGTTGACTCCACGTGCAAGCTTGGGTACCACTTGAGGGATGGTCTCCAAGGTAGTGGATGATGGCATATGCATTTTTTTTTGGGGGGGGTTGGGGGGAGAGAGAGAGAGAGAGGGATTGTCATGAGAAAGAGAAAATAAGGCATACCCTCGAACAGGAATTGAAAGTTTTTTAGCAGCATCAACAACAGCTCGATAACGATTAAAACTCTCTTCAATACTACAGTTTATGTTTGACTTTGAAAAGGACTCTGAAGCTGCTGCAAAGACAGCAACTTCCTTTGCACCAGCTACAACAGCTGCTTCAAACCCCTATAAGCGATTGATGTAACAAATCAGGAATCAATCACAAGCATATGGAGCTGTTGGTACTTCTATATTTTTTCAAAAAACGATTACTCACTTTCAAATTAGCTGTCAAGACAGGTAATCTGGCACCCTCCAAGTTCTTAACTGCTTCCATCACATCCTTTGCATCTGCCAGCTATTTGGGAAAAAGAAGAAACACTCACAAATAAATAAAATAAGGAAGAAAGAAAAAGGACTATTAAAACAGGTTGTATTTCTGCTAAAATGGGGATAAATCTGTAAACTAAAATAACATGAAACACATTGAAATCTAAAACTGATGAAATAGTTCAAATGAAAAAAGGTTGTATTTCTGCTATACTGGGAACAAATCTGTGAAAAAAAAAATAATATGGAACACCTTGAAATCTAAAACTTGAAAGGTTAATTAAGTTTATAAGGTGAGAAGCATAAGAGACGAGCATAAATTAGTACAAAACTCAAACCCATGCCCTTCTCCTGCTTAGTAATACAGGGACACACACACACACACAAACAAAAAAGCAGTTGAACATGTAAGGGGAGGGATGGGGAAGGGTGGGGTAAAAAGGAATGGCAATGAAACTAGTGCTACAATTGATATTACAGCTTCCAGAGAATGCAAAAAATAAAACTACGAAGAAGCAAAATTATAGCTATAGTTATTAGCAAGAAGTATAATCACTCTACAAGGACGAGGCAAAATTTATTCATGAACCAAAAATCATTCCCATCACCCTTGGCTGAGTCTAACGTTATGCTTTATGTGATTAATCAGATCACGCACACAGAATCCCAAGCTATCTGTGTCTAGCAGTCACAGCAACCAAATTGCTGACACCCCTTGGATATAGTGTAGCATACCTGTCAAACATTCCAGTCTAGCTCAGAGGCACATCGTTTGTGCCCCCCGTTCAGAGATGTTCGGTGGGCAAAATCCTCTTCGAGAATATGAATTCAACAAGCAATGACCCCCCATGTCTGACAAAGGACATGGTGAAAGCTGTTGTAACAAGTTTGGTGCCATGTTGGTGAAAGGTGAAATTCGAAACCAATCATTCCACCAAAGGGCCAGTCTGGCTGCCCACTACTGGTAAACAGACCAGGACCAAAGTTACCACCAAAAAGTTAAGGTGGTGATCCACAAGCTGCAGAAACCACCAAAAAATAACATGGTGGTCCACAATCCAAATTCAGCAGCCAAAAATAGATAGACGTTTACTCATAGACACACTTCTTAGTTATTCATGGAATTCTTTGTCTTCTTTTCAGGTGTTGGGTTATATTTGAAAAAATGTATATGGGCCTCTTGAATCACCCAACTAGTCCTCCTTGACACATGAAGTCTTTCCTTCCTATATGACTGAAATAGCTCCTTCCTCAATGACTGAAATAATTCCTAAGAATCTCCCCAAAGGAGAGACTCAAACTCAGGACCTTCAGCTTTGAAAGTTGCCCCTAGCCATACTGTCAGGAAACATTATGTCATAGTTATAACTTACGCATATATCATAACTAACTAAACAACCATACGCCCATTATACCAGTTTTAAAAGGGGTGATATTGCTTTAGAACTGTAACCAGTACCACATGATTAAATAAATAATGCATTCTTGATGCCAAAATAGTCCTATGGAAGTTCTGATTAAAGCTGTAGAAGCTCCAAGAACTTTTCCACTCAACATTCGCCAATGATAGAGGAGACTAAAAATGAATTCTATTCTGAAATTTGAAGTCCTTTTGTTTATCCACAGCTTCGAGGATGAACTAAATCCTGCATCATTCCAACCTACATAAAATAAATTTGGTTGATATAGTTTATTAATAACCAAAGGTCTATTTGACTTGTAGCTATATAAATAAATTTGGCTGATATAGTTTATTAATAACCAAAGGTCTATTGGACTTGTAGCCTTGTAGGATGCATTGATTTTGCCTCATTTCCGCTACACTCATTCTGTCACTATGTTGTTTTCTAGTTGTCCAATATTCCGTCTCATACATCATTGTTGTCCTTATAGCTATTTGGTAAAACTTACCTTTCAATTTTATTGGTATCCTTCTATCACATAATATGTTAGAGTCTTTCCTCCACTTAAGCCAACCAGCGTTGATTCTATGAGTTATATCGCCTCCAATCTCTCCATCATTTTTTATGATTGATCTTGGATATCTAAATCGTTTACTTCTTGGTATCTCTTGAGATTCTATGAGTTACATCGTCTCCAATCTCTCCATCATTTTTAATGATCGATCTTAAATATCTAAATCGTTTACTTGTTGGTATTTCTTAATTTAATTTGAACTTTTTCATTATGTCTACTTCTATTACTAAAATTGTATTGCATGTATTCAATCTTACTCCTACTTATTTTAAACTCTTTTGACTCGAGTCTTTCTCTCTAATTTTTTAGTTTATTGTTAATCCCTCTTCGAATTTCATTTACTAAGATAATATCATTTGCAAATAGCATACATTGTGTAACATCATCTTGAATGTACCTGGTGAGTTTATCCATAATTAGGGCGAATAAGTATGGACTTAGGGCTGATCCTTGCTGCAATCTAACTGTGATTGAAAATTCTTTACTTTATCCCATGAAAGACCTAATTATAGTCATTGCCCCATCATATATGTCATTTATCACGTCAATATACCTATTTGTCACTCATTTTCTCTCAAACACCCTTCATATTACATTTCTAGACACTTTATCATACGCCTTTTCAAGATCTATAAATACCATATAGAGATTTTTTTCGTCTCTCTATACTTTTCTATGAATATCCTTAATAAATATATATCCCCCATAGTTGATTTTCTAGGCATAAACCCAAACTGATTTTCAAAAACTGTAGTCTCAACTCTTAGGCGATGTTCAATGACCCTTTCCCATAGTTTCATTGTATGACTCATCAATTTTATTCCTCTATAATTATTACAATTTTGAATATCTCCTTTATTTTATAGATAGGTTCTAAAACACTCTTATGTTAATGACCACAACCAAAAATTAACATGAACTGATATAAAGGCAAAATCTTCTCTCGTTTTGCCCTATGAACGCTCAGCATGTAAGAAGCACATCAAATGCACCAATTGCATTAGCTTTCCCATTGTTATAGCCATAAACGGGTGTGGGACTTGTTTCTTGGACACAGATCATGAAAGAGCCATCCAGACATAATTTTGTACGTCAATTAAACCGCATAACCTTTGTCTTAAGATTTATATGTCAAAGACTCCCAACGACATCAGACTTATAACACAAACATGGTAAATCTAGTATTACAGTTGCAATTGGTGAATAGTTACATCGTCACCTAAAAACAGCATAGAGTGAGTTACCTGAGGTACCCATTTTGGCGAGACAAAACTTGTAGTCTCAACAACAGGCAATCCAGAAGAAACCAGCCTATGAATCAGTTCAACTTTCACACTTGTCGGTACAATATTCTTCTCATTTTGCAACCCATCCCTTGGACCAACTTCCACTATCTTCACAAACTTTGGTACCCCTCTAGAAAACTGCTATATACAAACAACAGCAATCCTATTTAACCAAAAAAAGAAGCGAACAATGCGATAGAAATCAAACCAACAAGCTAATTAACCATAGCTCAAACAATCATGTAATTCAACAACAAAGCAAATAAATAGACTTATTTCTTTAATGATTCACCTTAGATGTTATGTCCCTTCTACTTTCCTCATGGCAGTAGGTGCTATTTTGATGATCAGGCAAGTACCGTGGATCACATGCAGTATCATATACCACATGATTCCGGCCTATGCTTAAAGTCCTTCGACTGGAGATGTCACACTGCGATATATCTCTCATTTGTCTTCTCCATGAGAATGCCTCTCGCCCATACCCTTCAAAATCTTCACTGAAAACCAAAACATTATCTAAGAATTTAGAAAACTATGCCCATTGACCAATCAAATAACTGATGGATTACTTACTGGGGGAAAAAATAAATAACTGATGGCCTATGCTTCATCCATACCTTTACTCTGATAACCAATATCAGTATATTTCTATGGTCACCTGACATTGTAGATCGGTAGACTAATAATGTTTGTCATTGACAATAGAAATGGTTTACTCGAACTTTGTCTTATAATGAAATCAAAAGAAACATCTAAGGAAATTGGACCTAATAAAGCTCTGCTGCTGTCTGTTTTGTCCGGATGAAGGGGAAAAAGTTTGAGAAGGACAAAGATAATAGAACAAGAGAAAAATTCTCAATGGCCTCTAAATTATTTATCCTTTGTCTTCCTTGTCTTTCCCTATTTGAAACGTGTAACGTAACAAATGCAAAATAAGATTTATCATTATTGCTATAGACTATGAGAACCACACTTACTACATAAATACTACCTTTATATATGCATATTTATACTACAATGCATGTGATTAAGGTTTGAGGATATCATCAAAACTAGACATAAAAAAATGCAAAAATGCACAACAAACAGTACTTAAATAAGGAGAAAAAAAAAAAAAAAAGTTCCCACAGCTGCCTAAGTAAATAACTCATTCCCAAGTACTTCGATTTTAAGTTTCCATTATCTTCAGGTGTGGACCAAGCCACTTTTCGAGCTAAGATTTCAGACAAATGGCAACGTAATTCAACATGCTTAGACAAAACTATATGATAAGTTTTTTTTTTTTTGCAGTTTATCCTTTTTGTGTCCATGTCATCATATTTTAGGATTTAATGTCATGTCTATGTGCTATTGTGTCCATATCTATTCTTCATATGTATGAAGGCAATGAGGATGCTGAGAAAACAAGTCAATTCCATGTCATTTCGATTTATGTTTTCTGCTATGCTTAGGTGTTGCCAGACTACTGACTTAAAAAAGGGTCCCCATACTTGGGTGTTGTCCAAGCCACTCTATTAGTAACTAAGATTTCTATGCCAACTCCAACAAGTCAGCACTCAAGGGAAAGGCAGCACTTGACCCACGTGTGAGCCTGGATCCCACATGAGGGAGGGTGTTAGGAGAGCTTGTATCTCACATCGAATAATTAGAACTACCAAAAGTTGGTTTATATATTTAAGGGGTGACTCCACCCATTGCTAATTAGTTTTGGGTTGGATGCTCTAACACTTTCAAGTCAACATCCCAATATATCGAGTTAATATAAGCCCATATGACTCCCTTTCTTGAAAACCTTTAGTGGTACTCATCAAGAAGTTTACAAACAGCATTTGTGACCTCGACTATTAGAAAAATGAACTTCCTTAGAAGAATGTAAATCATGAAGCCTACTAAGATTAAAGAGGAAAACAATAATTTAAGAATGAGGAAACACGAGATAATTTTTATTACATTGCATGAAGGAAAACAGTTAACATAGTTTTAAAATAACACACGTACTCACAGCCATTGGCTGAGCTGCAACTTCTCCCTTCAATCCAGCTGTTTCCCATTCTCCTATCCTCATCCCTAGGCCTGCAAGCACTCAACGAGAACCTATGACGTTGATCAATGGTGCTCAGACTTGACAATTTGTCCAGACCAACAGGCTCCTCCAAACTTGACATCTTGGAACTGGATGCAAGAAGGGGAACTGGAATAGAAGCACGGCAAAAATAAGTGCTCTGCAACACACTCTTTTGTATGACCTTTCTTATCAGCATCAGATCAACAGCAGTACATGACTCAACTCAAAGATATGACTATGCAAATTATTTTCAAGAATTCAAGCACCTGATTTCAGTATGAGAAACAAATATTTTGAGTTCAATGTCTCAAACTACAGTCATGTAGTTTAAAAATTAAAGACTGGTGTTTTCAAACGTATTCAATGAATAAACTGAGTGAAAGAAATGAAAGATATGTCTGTCAGCAATACTTATGTGACACATCAGAACTGCTAATGGTAAAAAGTAAATCACAAAATCTTTCAATATGACAACAAAGTGGCAAGACACTGATGCTTTTTGTTTTAACAATTACAAAAGAAAGAAAGTATAGAAACCGAAGTACTTGATGAGCCTCCAAGCCTTTAAATGTCACCAAAAAAAAAACAATAAGGTTTTTCAAAAAAATAAGTGAGCAAATATGATCAACTTAACTTTAAATGAGGATATCTATTGACAACATATAGCAGGTCAGTCAAACTACCATCCTATGATACAAGGCTGCGCTCCACATTGCTCCCAACCCTTCCACTAAAAATTTCCTTCACAACAAAAAGCGAAGTAAAAGAATCTCAAAAGCGTTTCCCCAATTCCAGCTAACCAAAGTCAGCTTTCTACAACTCAACTAATTGTACTTTTTGTTTATTTCAGGCCGAAAAAACACAGAACCTGTCTCACCATTCTGTTACAAAGGCATCGAAGGTCCAAAACCCTCATCAATTCATAGCACACCATACCATTTAGAATTCCAACTCAGTTTCTCTCAGCCATTTTTTAAAAATTTTAGAGACTTATTTTTGGAAAATTACATCACTACCAACTGAAGCAGTCATTTCACTGCAACTGGAAAATTGTCCGTCTTGACAATGTCTTGTGTTGTTCATCTCTTATTTCTTTCCATGATTGAAGGTGTCATTTCAAATATCATCCTTTTTTAGATCATGAAATTCATCAATCCCAAGATTCTTCTTTCAGTTGCAGCTATTTTCTAAGAAACTTCCTTTGTTAAATCAATGAGGCAGCTAGACAGCATTTTTTCAATGCATTTTTCACTTGATTCAGACATCGATCATCAGATCTTCTAAAACTGAATTACGAAAAATCTTGTCCTTTTAGTACATCAACTAACAGTAATAGTTGCTGGTTTGAATCAAATCATCAAAGAGACATATAACATCGAAGATAATGGAAGTTAACCCATCCACCCCCTTCCCTCCCATTTACTGAGTCCTCACTCCCTTCTTTACCACCCCAAAAACAATCAAATCTTATTCGTGATAGAATATCAGGGAGTACAAAAACTCTGGCAATCCAATTAAGTACCCTGTTGCTCCACTCCACAAGACTGAAACCAACGATCATCAAAACACTTTCTAGATTAAAATGTCCATAAAATTTGAGGACCTAATTAACATTGAAACAGAGTCATCATATCTCATTAAATTAAGTTGAAGTGTATGCACATGCAAATCACTAAACCCACATTTCTTTGCCACCATCAAAGCAAGTCTGACTCGAGTTCATCAAATTCCAATTCAACTTTCTAATTCCAATGCAAAACAACGACGAATGCTTCAGAGTAGCAAACAAAGAATAAGAATTTTCTACAAAAATGATACATATACATAAACAATTTTTCCATGGGCAACCCAACCCCTCATATGTTTTATGAACATGAAATTCAATACAGATTGTGATCAATAAGTTAGATATAGAAACAAATGGAGTAAAACCAATCAACAACTCAATGCCAAAACTATCATAGATAACATAAACCGTTTCAAGACAAATGAAGAAATTCTTAGCCCTCTGTCCGGTTGGCGATAATCCCGAGGAAAAGAATATAAATTCAAATATAAGTTCCCGTGGTTCAATTTTCCTCTAATCAAAACCAACTTTACTATCGTACTTTCTACTTCAGTTGTGGGGAATACAAAAGCAATTGAGTCTCAATTTTGCTTTTCTTTTCCTCTGGACTCTGGACAATCAAACAAAGGAAAATACGAAATTGAAGAACAAGAAGCAAACAGACCGGAGATGAATAATTGAATAGAATTTACTGCAGAGAAAACGAATGCGGAAAAAAACAGAAACCCAGAAATTTCTGTGTAATGTTTTGCATCATTTCGACGTTTTGCCAAAATTTGGAAAGAGAAAAGTCACCTGTGGGTTAGACGAGAAGAAGAGAAGGTGACGAAAATGTGACGGAGAGTTTACTGCAAGTCTCTGTCTTGTTTGGTCGTCAGTTGTGATTGTGTAATGTGAACGTTTCTGTATCTCTGTCTCCTCTCGCTGTCTTGGGAGTTTGTGATCGGGAATACATTCCCAATAAAAAGGGCGAAGGAAACGAGAAAATATACCGCGTTGTGAACGTTTCGTAATATCACTGATTAATAATATTAAAATAAATAAATAAATAAATTTTATAAAAATTAATAATAAATTTTATAAAAATTAATAATAAATTTATCATGTAAATAAATAATTTTTGATATTTTTTTAATGTAAATCTAAATAAAATTCATCTTATCCACTTAAAATTTTATTATTAATTAATGATACTATATTATCAATAATGTTATAATATCCCCGTTACCTTCAATATTTAGTCAAAGGAACAGATGGTACTTGGTTGGTTGGTACTAGGTAGGATTCGGTTGATAGTTGGTCTTTTTTATTTTTTTGGTGCAGGTTGGTCTTTTTTTATTTGATACCTTTTAATGCATGCTAGTTGGTCATTTTCTTGGGCTATTTTTAAATCACTCAATTTCCTAGCAATTTCTATGTATTTCTTTTTTTCAAGCTACTAGTAACGAGGTTTTTTTTAATATTGCAGCCGACCGTACTTGAGAGAATATTCTGTACAAAGGTTTTTTTTTATTATTATTTCACCCGGCGGCGTTTCAGAGAATATTTAAGGGTAATTTTATGTTAGTATTGATAAAATTCTAATTAATAATTAATAATTAATAATAAAATTCTAAATAAATAAAATGAATATCACTTGGATAGTTTTTGGTTTACAAGTACGAAGAGTGAGTAATTATATGCATACATAGATGAATAGTTATTAGCTTGTGTGGAGTTCATTTTTTTGTTTGTTTGTATATTATTGGTTGGCGATATCACGTGACAATACTGACGTAGTATTGTTATTGTAATGAATATTTTTTGTTATATCTAAAATAATTTATATGCACCTCAACTAGTTTTCTCTTCAGTTCTGTTATAAGCATGTTATCCACGTAAGGACTAGGAAACGAGTAATGTTATAGGGACTTAAAAATTTAACATATTTATTGACTTAATAATGTGACTTCATTATAAACTACTAAATTAATACAAAGTTTCAATATTTGATAAGGTTCAGAGTCAATGCAAATATTTTAATAAATTTGGTCAAAAATTAGATTTTAATAACATTGCTCACTAGATAATTCACGAGGGATAAATAACAATTACACCCTTTTATCTATGATCAATACCATTTACTTCCCCTGTCAAGTCGATTCCATAATTCCATTTTCATAACAGAAACCAAGAAATTGACTATAATTATCTCACTGCACAAAATTCTTTACTTGTTGACCTCTAATTTGTTTTGGTGTATATTGTCGAATTAAAACAAATTTATTTTGTTAATGAAGTTGATTTCCCTCCAAAATAATATCAAATCTAAACATTTTATTAATTAATTTGAATTAATCTCCAAATTAAAGTAAACTGTGATTAGTGTTATTAAGTAAGTTTTGTTTGTTCTTATATTCATACCGTTAATTATATCAAATTTATCTTACATTCAGATAAAATCAATATATTAAATAAGTCAAATTTATCACCAAATTGAAACAAAATCTAGTTTATTTTCTTAAGTTAATTTTGTCTTTAAATTCATACCAATTCTATTCATTTTTATTAATTTATTCAAATTTATTCGATTCAATTAAGTAAGTTAAATTTATCTCTAAATTCCAAATAAATTCTGTTAATTTTGTGTCCAATTTGATTTTAATGTGCACACAAACATTAGTTACATAATTATTATTTTGACGAGGGCAGTTATTCATTTCTAGAGAGAGAAGCTCTAACTTCTCTCTAGAAAATTCCATTGAATTTCATTTGTTTTTTGCATTTTCTGGTAGATCTACTCATTAAGAATGAATTCTGATCAGATTCAAAGTAAAATTCACCTAAGCCACCAGATATTACACAGAATTACACATCGATTTTCAAGAATTTGTTGAATTCTACAAATCCATTGGAAACGATGCACTTTACCAATTTAGACCGAGAAGAGACAAATGTTTTTGGATTGATACTGGATGTTGTTAGATCTTCTGGTATGCCCTTAGCGAACCCTAGTTTTCAACCTATGTCAGATATTACTAAAAACTTTGCATCTCTTTTCAAGAAATCATTGAGCTCTTTGTTTCATTCGAGTTCTTTGATTCCTGCGAATTGTTCGAATCCTTCGGTGCCTTCACAGTCGATCAAAGGGTTATCTTCTCCGATTCCTTCAGTTTCTTTAATCAAGCCAGCAAAGCGGGTGGTGTACAACAACGGAGAACCAGGGATGTATTAGTCCTCGAATGAAACTTAAGAATTGTCCAAAAAGTTCCACTAGACCTTAATAGGTAAGTGTGCGTATGGCAAACCATCAATTGGGGTAATCAAAGAGTTTATAGCTACCAGATGGCTTCCGAAGGGTAATTTTACTGTTGGGGTTTTGGATCCGAGACACGTGCTGATTTGTTTCGATCTCTATGACGACTACGTCAAGACGTGGTTGAAGGACGCAACCTACATCAAGGGGTTTATGTTTAGATTTTTCAAGTGGTTCCCAAAGTTCTTGTCGGGGATTGAACCACTGGTGGTGCCTATTTGGATCTCTCTCCCAAGTTTGCCCATTCATTTGTTTGATAAGGAGAGTCTTCGTGATATATTAAGTCTTATTGGAAAAATTCTTGTATTTTTACTTCACTTCTGAAGGGAAGAGA